CCATCTATTTACAAAAACAAAACGTAAATTTTTCGTTTTAAACTTTTTAATCTCAAATTAGGCTCATCTTCCATAAAACTTAATAGTAACAGTAAGGTCGATAATTGCTTGTCATCCCCACACCTACGTCACAGCCGCGTGTTAAAGTGACAGACAAAATTGGGCGATGGAACTATCCTATGTAGTCAACTGTTCTTGGACTGTTATACATAATTAGTCGAGCACACATTTGAAGCGAACGTTCGGTGTTGACAGAGCGACATATTTTAATTGTTTTCTTGTTTATTCAATTATTATTAATTACAAAATTACGGGTAAGTGATATTTTTGGAAGTCTGTTTCGTACTAAGTACTGTTATTTGCATGAATACATTTAAAAAAATTTGTAATCACTGTTTTTTATATGTTATTTGGAAAATTTATCCCAACACGTGGTTGACGCCTTATTGGATGAAATTTCAAGGGACCAGGAGTCAATTGTCTCTGATATTGAAAGCGCCTTAAGAGATGAATTGAACAGGCTATAGTGGAATTTCATATGCCGCTCCATCTTGTTCAACTAACGGAACTTACACTCAGAGGGTGTAGAGAGTGTAGTCAGAATCCAAAACGACTTTTCAAGACCCTTCCATCGTAAACATGGACTGAGACAGGGAGATGGACTGTCGTGCTTCTTATTAAACCTTGCACTAGAAAACGTAATTCGAGAGTGCCATATTAATACGAATGGAACCATCTTTAATAAATCTGTACAAGTGGTCAGATATGCAGACGACATATACATTATTGCTAGGTCCACACAATCTCTGATCGACGCTTATCGATCATTAAGGGCGTCTGCACTGAGAGTAGGATTAAAAATAAACGCACCGAAAACCAATTATAGGTATTGTACTAGATCAGGCAACCAGATATCTAGACTATTAATTGATGATCTGGAACTGGAAGATGTGGACACCTTCGTCTACCTAGGCTCGGTGCTGACCAAAGACAACAATGTCAGCGAATAAATTAAAAGAAGAATAGTGCTTGCCAATAAGTGCTATTATGGCTTGAGGAAACAGATGGTCCCAAAACTACCCAGAAAAATTAAAGTTACCATCTATAAAACACTAATAAGGCCAGTGTTAACATACGGGTCAGAAGTGTGGTCACTTACACATAATTTCAAAGAATTGCTTAAACGTTTCGAGAGAAAAATTCTAAGGAAAATATATGGAGGAGTCCAAGAACAGGGTTTGTGGCGTAGGGGCTACAACTTTGAGTTATACAAAAGTTTTGGGGAACCTGACGTTGTAAAATGTATTAATTAGCACGCCTTCGATAGATAGGACATGTAATTAGGCGAGATGAAGATGCAACGATCAGAAAAATTTTCGATGGAAGAGGACGATTGGAGACCAAATTAACAATCAAGATGAAACAACCAATACTCCAAATAATCAAGAATTGGGATCGGATAGTGAAGACGATGTACCGCTAGCAGTATGGCTAGCAAAGCGAGATAACTCTATATTTTGGATCCAAAATGAAAGTTATATAATTCAAACAAATCAATTTATTGAAACTACAGGCACAAATACTTCAAATTCTGCAGAGTACCCCACAAATCTGTTTTTTAACTATTTCCTGAAGATCTAATTCACCTAATTGTATTTCAAACCAATCAATAGGTTCAAAAAGACGGAGTATGAACTGGATTTACCCCTACCACAGGAAGACTATCAGCAGAAAAACCAGCGAGTAAATTCAAAAGGCATATCCCTTTGGAACTGTGCCATTCAAAGTCTTCTCATATGCCTCAAAAAACTACCTCTTTGAGATGTAACAGCAAGTGTTAGCAGAACACAGTGGAAATGTTCATCTTGCAATGTCGGACTTTATCCCAACACGACAAAAATTGTTTTGCAACGTTCCATGCAAAACAGTAGGAAGAATAGGAAGAAAGAAGTGCCGAATATACTTCAGGATCAGTATTGTTTATTTTGGCTAAATTTGATTTAAGAATATACTAAAATAAATAATTTTCACAAAAATCCGGTTTTTTAAATTAAATAAAAAATCAGGCTTCAAAGGGTTAAGTGGCTCACAGGACAAAATTTGGGATTCAACTTAAAGTCTTGATTTCAGTTTTTGAAAAAAGTTAGTTGAATAATAATTGGCGAAATATCCGGAAAACCCAAGATTCTAACCAAATTATATCTTCTGTTCTATGAGTCCAAAATGGTTAATTCGGGGGTCGAAATTAAAGGTATTGGTGTCAACTGATGACTCAAATGATTTTCAAAAAAGTAGCATCTGAGGAACTAAAGGTATAACTCAAAAATAGCGAAGAACCAACGGTGAACACGACGGAGAACCGACGCGATGGTTCTAATAAGATTTTCGTCTTTTAAATGAACATAACTCTGGTTCTAAGAGTCCAAAATGGTTCATCTGGGATCCAAATTAAAGGTATTATTGTCATCTATTTACTAAAATAACTTTCAAAAGAGTAGCATATCTCTAACTAAAAATGAATCTCAATAAACGGCTAAAAAGCGGCAAAAACCCGTTTTTCTTTTAATTTTTATCTGCCTTGTACCACTTTAAAAATTCTGGAACATTGTTTTAGTGTTCATACATGATATATATTTTTTTCGAGATATCCATATTTTTTGTTATTTTTTTTATGGACGTTTAAAATTTTCAAACGCTCAAATCAGTTTGAATTTCCCGCTAACTTACATTTTTGTTTAAATATTTTTATAGGGCACAAAAAAACCTTTAGTTAAAAAAAAGAAATCTATTTTGGTAAAATATTAAGCAGGTTATAGCCAAAAATCAAAGTTTAACGTTTCATTGAATTTTGAGGTGTTAATATTTTTTGCTAAAATTTGGTGAATCTTCATCTTTTGTGGTATTGAACAAGACCCTAAAATTTATGGTCAAGTTTCCCCTAGTGCAATTTTGACATTATTATCCGGCTATGCCCTTTGTTATATTTGTTTTATAGATTAAACTTAGTTTCTTTTTATTTGTGTATTTTTATTGTGTGTATTCTAACAACATTTGTAGCATGTTGAAAATTCCTTAACTATCAAAATATTCAAGTAATAAGACTTTTTTAGTACGTTCCTGATCCGAGTATACAATTTTCCCCAATTCTGTTTACATTTTGTGCTGTAAAGAAAAATCCCAAATTCCGGTCATAACTAGGACATTAAATAATATGGTTAGATTTATTTGTATGCGTTAGCTTTGAGATTTTAGGCTGAGAATTTTGGGTTGTTTGATTGCAAGAAACAGACTAGAGGTGACACTCAAAACTGGTAACCGGCCGGCTATTAGGAAGGTCGAAGAGAACTTAGGTTGAAAAGGGTAACGAGAGTGAGCAGACGTCGGTATGTAGTTTGAAAAATTCTGCAAAATTTGTTGGAAATAGTGAATTATACTCTATGTAATGTGTCAATTTTGAAAGAGTAATCACTGTTTCTGTGTTTCTAAGCATCTAAGTGATTTGTGTCGCCTACAACAATTTTGATATCCACATTTCAATTCATTTCATTCATTTTTTTTTCAATCAATTTTTCTGTTTTTTTTTTATGAAGCCGAGTCAAAGTCTGTGTCTAGTGCCTCCAATTTCAACCTCAAATTGTTGTCATAGTAAGAAGCCGTTTCAAAATACTTTTCGTAGTATGGAGATGAATTTGTTCGAGTGGCAGGCAATGTAAGTCCAGTTCCCAACCTCAGAAATTTAAAGTTAAAGTGCATTATAGTGGAATCCAGGTAACTTTTTTGTTTGAACTCATAAAGTAAAAACGAACAGTTTAACATAATAATTGCTTTCATAACAATTGAAATTTTAATAATTAAAATTGTAAATCTTAGGGTGTGGTTAGCTGTCATTTTAATTATTCTGTTTCAAAATTTAATGTTGACATATGACAGCTATCTTGTTTTTTGACATCAATTTGTTTTGTTTTTAAAGAAGGTTATTATTATATTTATTATTATATATTATATATTATTATTATATATTATTATCTCTCACTTGTAAACGGATAGGACATAGTAAGTTTTTCTTCTTTTTTATTTTGGTATAAATCTTTGTAACTATTAATATAGTATTATTGTGCCATTTATATTTGGAACTGTTTATGGTGAGACAACAATAAATGTTTAATTATTTCTCTAAACTAATTTGTTTATTTCCTTTGTTACAAAAGTTTATAACCTCTTTTGTGTTTCTTTTTTAGGAAGGAATAACCTTTCTCCTTCATCCAGCAGGAAGTTCCTTCGAAGCGGTGTCCCATTTTAAATAGCTAGAGGTTCTTCTTGTCGTTTTTTTTGCCCATTTGTCTAGGAGATTCATGTAAGTACCCCTTTGTTTCATTTTTTTTTGTAGTTGCCCCTATCTAATCCCCATGCCATTCACTTATCCACGACCCAGTTACCCCAAATAAACCCTGAGAGCCGTTTGCATAAGTTTCGTTTATTTTGCTTGCCCATCTCCACCTCCAGTAATTTCTGTCCCCAATTTTTAACCCCCTATAATAATATCCTATCTGGTAGGCAAAATATTCCGTTACACATTTTATGTGTACATATACACATAAATATATATAAACGTCTTTTAGCAACAACTTGATAGAGAGAATTGTATGACATTAATAGTTTAATAGCACTAAAATTATTTACAAACAATTGGACAAAGTTAGGCACCAAAATATGTGTTGACCAGTGTTATAGTAAAACTTTTAGTGTTTCATATCAATAGCTGACGAACTTAAGTTACTATTTTTATCTAAAAAATAAATGGATCCACACGAGGGTCATCGAAACAAACAAACAAACAGTCCAACCAGGAAGACGAATCATTAATAATTCATTACAGTACATATTTGCTCATTTTGTTTACACTTGATAAACAACATTTAATCTACCTCAAATATTATCCAAAATTATATTATTATTGTACTAATAAAGTGAAAATATTATTTGGAATGAAATTTACTTACTTGTTCTCCTACAATAATATTGGTATCGTCAACGTCTGAGTCAATCCCGGAAGAGTTTTCATCATTGACTGTTTGAGTATCCAAAAGTCGTGGTCTTTTCTAAAAAAAAAAGAACATTGTAATTATTACCTCTGAGTACGTGTCAGGTGTTTTTTTTAATGAATATTTTGATTCGCTATGTATTTTTACGGTATTCTTCGTAATTTGAATTCCAAATTTTTGTTACACATTTTTTTTGCGTCTCGTAATCTCTAAGCATATATATACTACTATACTTCCTAAAACGACACTCAGTCCTAACTGCAAGACGCAAGAGTCTCGCAGGCTTAGTCTTGTTCTTGCTCAAATCTTGCACGGTCAATATTGTAACGACAAGTATTTTGCCTACCACAGGGGGCATTAATACGGGAGATAGAAAATTAGGGGAAAAAACTATTGGGGTTGGAGATAGGGCAAGCAAAATAATCGCTAATGATGCGAACGGCACTCAGGGTTTCGTAGGAGAGCTGGGGTCGTGGATAAGTAAAAGATAAGGGCATTGGAATGGGGCAACTACAAGAAAATGAAATAAAGGGTCATTAATCTCTTGGAACAAACACAATAAAAATAAACAAGAAACACCTCAAGGAATTTACTATAGGGCGCCACTTGAGGTGCCTAATTATGCCTATTACAACCACTAGTTGTAACTAGGGAAACAATTAGAAAACAAAATCAAAACATAAAAAACATATCTTTTTCAAATAAACTCAAAAAGGGTTAGCTCAAAAAAAAATAATAATAAATAAAATGTTAAGACAACAAAATTTAACTTTTATTTATGTGTCACCACAAACAGTTACATGGAGAAATACAAAATTCAAAAACTTACATGTGTCATCCATTAACAAACTCCATTGCTACAAAACTTACAAAATTGCATGGAGGTTAACCTTTCAAAACAAAACAAAACAAATCAACATCAAAAATACTAAAACGAGCTGACCTAAGAAAGAAATGAAAAGATATTTGGGTTTAAATACGTACGAAATATTTTTAGATCTATCAAAAATATATAAGGTGATTTTAATATTTCGTATACGAGGGGACTTCAATATACTTCAAAGAATCAATGAAATTGAAAATGCTACAATATTGGTCTTGGTCTTCCTAAAATTCTTGCGTTTTCGCAAGACCAAGACCGATTTTGGGCAACCGTACCTTTGATATCAACGTTTGAATTGGTCCAGAGAACGGCAGCATTGAGTGGCAGAATGGCGTAATGTAGCATTCAGCGATGAATCATGATTCTGTTTAGGAATTCATGATGGTTGTAGGTTTGCTATTGAGAGGCATGTACACAGGACAGTTGGAGTAATGATTTGGAGAGCTATTGCCTATGGTAGCCGATCTAAACTTGTTTTTATTCGAGGCAATATGACAGCTGCACGTTATGTTGATGACATCTTACAAACCACTTTACTGCCTTATCTCGACAGCCGTCGAGACGTTGTGATAATGCGCGTTGTCTTTTTTTTTAGCAAGATAACAAGCATCTCAATATTGCTCGCCAAACTATGGAGTTTCTCCAAGAAGCTGGCGGTAATGTTTTGGCGTGGCCGCCCCGTGCTCCGGATTTAAATCCTATCGAATATGTATGGGATATAATGGGAAGGGACTGTCCACTTTTCACCATCCTCCACAGACTCTGGCACAGTTACTACATGAAAATCAGGTTGCTTGGAACGAGGTGACACAAGCAAACATCGATCCTCTCATTTTGTCAGTGCCTAGACGTACAAAGGAGTGTATTCAGCTACGGGGTCACCAAACACATTATTTTTTTTATTACATGTTAATAAAAATTCTTGACAACGTTATTGTTTCATTCTTAATGTAAATCTACTATGTTGCCAAAAAATTAAGTTCAAGAAATTATTCCTTCTGGGTGTAACACTTTTAACGTCACATATAAGTATATAGTAAACAAAATGTTGAAATGTAGCAATAAAACAACACCCACCGGTAATACAAAAATACAAGAAACAACATCAATCATAAGATAAAAAGCATAAAAAGAGACCATTGGATACGATTCACTAGAGATATGGAACACGATGGAAAGTTTGGAAAATCCCTAAAGGTAGAAACTAATTAACCCATTAGCGCATAAATTATTTTTTTGTTAAATATTTGTATAAAATCTCTTTTATTTTAAAGTTATATGTATATTTATATAAACTTTATAAAAATTTCTTTAGTTTTACAGGACCCCCTTTTAAATGATCACGCTAGACGTATATGAGGTACAAAAATACTCTTTCTGATAAAATTTATTTTTGATTACATTATATGAAAAATTCCGAAACAATTGATACAAAGTCTGACATTACATTTTCCACATTGTGTTCGAACAGGTTTTTGCAGTCCAATCCACAGCACAGTCTTCTGTTACAAGGTTCCCCCAAATGATTTCTTTCATCAAGTCTTATCTCTTTGCAAACTTTGCAATCTAGTTCAGATTTAAAACCACCCGGACGACCAGCACCTCTGGAAGTAACACCATATTTCTTATACTTCTTCTAAAATCCAGTTGAGACATATCACAACCAGATTTTCTTTTTCAAGTCCAAGCGTTATGAATGGATGCATCCAAAAACCATATAAATATTGGCCACCACCACTTTTTACCACGAATAGATATTCGATAACATGAAATATTTTGGTCCATTTTATCTGTACCGCCCATATGCTTGTTGTAGTAAGTAAATAGTGATGGACGCATAAATTTTTTTTTGTTCTCGAGAATAACGTTTCTTCTTCTTCTTCTTCAATATGTAATTGGTTGAAAACCATAAGCAGTAAATGCAGCGGCCACAACTGAATTTTCCATCCATTTTATGACAATTATTCCATTTTTTCGATCTAATTGAAAAGCATATTCTCCGCGGTTTTTCTTTTTCATTAGCTTATTGCTTTTTATGTTACAAGTTTTTGGAATCCTATTTTCACGGATAGTTTCCGTTCCGTGATATCCTCTGTCCCTAAGTTCTTTTAACAACACCATACCAGTAAATAAATTATCGAAATAAATATGCATAGGTAAACTTTTAAATTAATTTGGAAATGTGTCAAACATTTATACCAAGGGTGCATACTTTCCAAATTTATTTTCGTAGTCATTATTGCTATGAGGGTTTTTACCTTGTTAAACGTCAAAATTGATAAGATATCCATCAGAAGTATTAAACTCCGTACTATATCCAATTTTAATAGGTTTATTTAGAATGCAGTGCTTGCAACCGTGCTTACCAAAATATTCTATCATTAAATCATCAAAACTAATATGTTGTACGGGCTCATACAGTTCTGCCAATTTATTTTGTAATATATTTGCCAATCGTTTTAGTTTCCACATTTTATCCACCGTCGACAAAAAAATATTATCTGCAAGATGTAAATATGGTGAAATTGCAATAAAACGATCCCTTCTCATAGAATTGTAAACAAATTCATTGCGCAGATCCCCTTGGGAGTCTAAATAGTTTCTCTTTGAAGGTACCGTATTGTAAGCAGACAAAATTAGTATGGCTGAGAACACTTAAATCTCTTCAGGGATCACATTGAAATCTGAACAATTTTTTGAAGCAGCATACTTCTACTATCTTCTACTATCTTCAAAAAAAAGTCGCAAAACGTTGTCATCTATAATCAAGCGAAATATATCATGGGGACTTAAATCTTTGTATTTTGTATAAAAAGAAGAAGGAAAATCGAACAAGGGTGGTACTATATCACCGGCTATCCATTCAGTCTCTATATAAGCTTTCTTGGCAGATTTTTTGATAGAATTCTCTGAGGGTTCAGCTACTTCATGAACCGAGTCATTTATTTGCTGTTCATCCCTCTCATATTCTAACTGATCCTGACTCTCATATGAATTCATCACAACCTATGCACCTGCACGTAATTGTCTACCGGTTAGGTTATCAACTAGTCCTCCTTCCTCATCACCAGAGTCCTCGTCAATAAATACATTTGGATCTGGAGGCTCTATAACTATTTCATTTAAATCTTGATCGTCGTCATTTTCAACCATAGCTAATGCTTCTTCCAAAGTAATACCAGTAAAACAATAAAAATATGTTTATTGCCACTAAAACAATGACAATAGGTTGGTATTATAAAATTACCAGACAAAAAAATATTACCCACTGCCCACATTCAAGCCTAGCGTGTTCATATGATCACGTACCTAATAAATGTGTAATTATGAAATACTATAGTACTTGTATAAGATATTACACCACAAACTAAATTGTAAAAAGTTTTTTATATAAATGCAATATTTACACAAATCGAATGTACGGATTTGCCATTTTTTAAACTGTTAACCAGCAAATTCACCAGTAAAAATACTTCTGAAAATAATTCAATGCACCTCGCACTGTTTATTATTTTAAACTAAGACATAAGCAACGTATTGGCCTCGAGCCAAGGTTAAAATTATCACAGTATTGCCAAAAAAAAAAAATAAAATAAAATCTTGAGTCTTGTTATGTCACATTATATGATCATATAATATGATCAGGCTAGGCGCTAATGGGTTAATGAATATCAAAATATAAACAAAATAGAAACAGAACAATGGACATCTTATATAGAAGAAGTTTATAATGGAGACAGTCTCTGATCTACAGAGGTAGAAGAAGAAGAAGAAAGTGATGGTGACAATAACACAAAATAATGTAATGAAATCACAAAAGAAGAAATCAAAGAGAGTCTAATGCAAATTTAAAAAATAGAATAGAACAGAATAACATCTCTCTCTCTCTCTCTTTTTCTATCTCTCTCTCTCTCTCTCTCTCTATCTCTCTCTCTCTCTCTCTCTATCCATGTCTCTCTCTCTCTCTGTCTGTATATATCATGTGGTTTAAAAGTAGTTTCCAAATGATCAGTAAATATGTTTGCTTTTTTACTTTTAGCCCATGCACCATGAGATTTTCTAATGGATGCGTTTTGTCTAACTGTCCTTTTGAGTCTCCTCGTACCTCTCCATAATCACTAATCACTATCTTTTTCATTGGTAAGCTCTCTTAATTTATTTATTAATTCGGGTTTAATTTCTCCGCTTATATATTGAGTTATTTTATTTAACCTAGTTTAATTCACAGACATTACATTGCTGCCATTTTCTTCTCAGCTGCCTTTTTTCGGCAAACATAATGGGTAACTATTACCTTCCGTCCTTCTTTTAATTGGCTTAGTGTTCACCCACGCTACCTGCTATATATCTATGTCAGATTTCGAATCCTAAGGAGGCCTTCGTAACCCTAAGGAGAGTCAACAAAGATAGAGAATTGCTAAAGACTGTTTAAACACCAGAAAATGTCTTAACTGAAACATATAGTGAGGTGAAATCGATATAGAATACTAGAATACTACAACTGATCCTTAAAGGCAAAATAGAAGACCGTAGGTGTGTAGGAAGAAAACAGGTTTCTTGATTAAAAAACATTCGTGAATAGACTCAGATATCAAATGCAGGATAATTAAATCATGTGGTACAAGATCGAGAAGCTTTCGCAATGGTGATCGCCAACGTTGGATAATTTTGATATGACACGTGAAAAGAGATGAATGATAATGTTAATAAGCATACAAAACGAAAATACAAAAGCTGTGGCTTTTGCGACAAAAGATGAAAACAAAAGAGTGAACATACAAAAATTTATACTTATACTTACAAAAAGCTTCGAAATTATTTCTTACACATTTTTGTTTCTAAAAACTTACCGGACGAATATCTGTATCACGATCTGGGGTAGCACAGCCAACATCACTGGGATTAACTACCAAAAAAAGGAAGATAATAAAACCAGCTACTCCTATATACAAGCCTGGCATAATAAAGGATAATGCCCAATCCTTTTCCACGTATTCCGCAGCAATCAGGGTTCCTGAAAGAAAGAATTTATTGTTTTATAAATTGTTAGTGTTGGTTGGATTATTTATAAACAATCCGGATCTTTACATTCATACCCAAAGACGAGGTTCAAACGTGATCTGAGAACTACACACCTTTTACCCTCCTTAGAAGAATAATTATTTTAAAGTACCTATTTACTCCAGTCGTCAGAGACGAAAATGCCACTGAACCTCGAAAAATCATACGCCAAAAAAGAAGCTTAATTTTGCTGAGAATGTCATTTTTAGGACGCCAAATAAGTTTACCACTTTTACCCTCGGGATCCTAAAACTCCTGGTATATGGGGGAAAACGGAAAAAAACGATTTACTAAGAATTTGTACGTCCTAGAAAAAATGTTCAAATAAAAAATGTAGCTAAAGATAATTTTGAACAAAAATGTTTATAAGCATATTTTATAGGTTTGTTCCAACAAAACGAAAAATACGTTTGAACAAAAATATGATCGGTCATCTCATCATCCTACCGACCGTTCCAACAAAAATTGTGATCGCCAAGTGACGGGTTTCGTGACGATAAAATCAGTCATATGGCAAATTCATGTTCTGGTTGGGATGACTTGCGCACTAGAATTTTTATACTACTTCTTTTAATTTGTTGGGCCTAGATCATCGAGTTAAAATGGAGAGAGCATCACGTGACTAAAAACGACCTCACTTCGGCCATATTGTTAATACTATTGTTTAATATTGTTTTGATACTTTTGACAGATCGTATAGTTTATTTACGTTTGTTGTTTTTCGAATATTTTAAGTTGTATATACTTTTATAGAAACTGTAATAATATATTGTGATAAGTGCATAATAATAGTTTCTTGTTCTCAAACGGAGTTGCAGTAGCAGAAGCAATGCTATTAAAAAAATCTTCGGGAATAACGTTGTACAGGGTTAGTATACAAATATGTAAACAAAGTAATGGCCGTACTTCAGAGCATAAATTAATAGTATTTGACTGTATTAATTTATCGTTATGTATAATATATCGTGTTTTTGGTGTATACCGCGGGATAAATAAATCATAGTTTATTAAAAATGTATTGCACTTTTTAGATTATGATTAAATCTTCTGAATAACTAGTCATATTTGTATAGTAGTTTTATTTTTATTGAGTCTGACCCTGATGTCACCGCCATATTGGTATTATAGTAGCCACTCATACATATGCCGTTTTTAATACATACGTTAATTGCTCATAGCTCTTCTCATAGATTCTAACTCGATGGCCTAGATTAACTTAGATTTTATATTAAAACAGCAAATTTGTTCAGAAAAAAGAAGAAGTTAGGTTTAATGATTTTATCGGTGCTTATGATAGACTTGTTATGTATTTATTGTTTTTCGTTATTTATAGCTTTATAAATATGACTGACGACGAAGAAATTAGTGATTTTTCTGATTATTATAGTAGTGAGGATGATTTGGAGCTATTAGCCGAAACATAGGGTGAAAAACCAGAATTACAAAAAGAACAAATTGTCACCAAATTATGTCAGTTGTCAGAACATCGTTCCAACATCAGTTCCAAATTACCGTCATAAGACGATAAAAATGATGAACATGCGCATTAAAAACGGCACAAGTAGTTTCGTGACGGTTTCCGGACCGTACAAAAATTGCGTGTTGGAACAAACGTTATGAACCGAAAGTTCAATAAAATTTGTATCAGCTCGACGGTAAAAATCAATATCTTTTTAAAGGTAAAGAGTGCAGTTTGGTAAGCAATTTTTTGTATTTTGCCGCAAATAAACTGAGTTTTTATAAAGGCGTTAAATAAATAAACGTGGCGCGATTTTTGCCAATTTTTATGATTCGATGAGATCGATATAATGTATCCTCTTTATTACCCGGCCATTGTAGAGTTTCGATAACTAGAGCCTAATCTTTAAAACCTATAACATGAAATTTTAGTTTTGAGTTTTGGAAGCGAATTTGAGGCATTTGAAATATGATGATACGCTGAATTTTCACATTAAAATATATCTAAAAGATTTCGTAGTACGTTTTTCAAAACTACTCATCTTCTGCTACAAATTACACTCAAAACCATCTTCTTGGAGGTATTTCTCGAGACGTGCGATCATTTGTAATGTAAAAGTAAAATTCAAATTTCATGTCATAGGTTTTGAAGATTGGTCTCTAGAAATCAAAATTTCATTACGAAAGGTCAATTAAAGTAATAAATTTTATTCATCTCACGGGAATTGCAAAAAATGGCAAAAATTGCCAACGTTTATTTATTGAACATATTTATAGAAACTCACTTCATTTGCTGCAAAATACAAAAATTGCACAAGAAAGCTGCGGTCTTCAGCTTTAAAATGCATTTTCATTTTTGTAGATAGCATACTCTGATCAAAATATATCGAATTTTACCATCGATTTGATACACATTTTATTTAATATTGATTACGCGCGCGCAACTGACATTCAAAAACGCCGGTCGCTTCAAGCGTTGTTTCTGAGAGAATGGTTCATAAGAAAAAGTGCTCAAAAAGTATTCAAAATTATCTCAGCTACATGTTTTATTCGAAACATTTTTTTCTACGGCGTACAAGTTCTTATAAATCAATTTTTTTTACCCAGAGTTTTTACCCCTCTACGAGGGCGGTTTTAGCGGAAAACCCGGGGGTAAAAGTGGTAAACTTTTTGAATCTTTTTTGGAGTCACAAAATTTATATTCTCGTCAAAATTAAACTTGTTCGTATGATTTTTAGGGATCAAATCTCTGACGACTGGACTAATTTATTTTTGTTTGCGTTATACATTTTTAAGATAGAGGGTAAAAGTGGTCTAAGACGTAAAAAGGTGTCATGGCTTTGTAATATTCGCCCATAGACAGGAATCCACAGTTTCAGTAATGCTGCTAAAAATAGAATAATTTAATCCCACTACTAACATCCCTAACATCTTTAGACAAAGATTAAAATCGATGCAAGTAAAATTAAGTAACCCACTCATAAGGCAACGCTGGCAGATGAAATCAACAACGGATTAATGAATGTTAAAGAACAAATTCTGCAAAATACTGAGACGGATAAAAAATAGTTATTAATAAAGACAGAAATAGATAAAAGTTAACCAGATATAAAAAGAAGCAATGGATGACGGAAGAAATTTTAGATTTAATGGAAGAAAGACGTCAATATAAAAACAAAGATAATCAGATGTACAAAAAAGTGGATAAACAAATAAAATACAGAATTAAGAAAGCGAAAGAACAATGTTTAAAAGAACAATGCGCAGAAATAGAAGAATACCAGAAAAGACATGATAGTTTTAAAACACATAAAAAATTAAAGAATTAACTCACAACAATAGAACCAGAAAACCGGGAATACTGAAAGATGCAAATGGGAAACTTGTGTTGAATACTAACGACAAATTAAAGATATAGACAGAATACATCAAAGAACGGTTCAAAGACAATAGAACAGAGCAGATGGATATAGAAGTAGAAGAGGATATGGTTTTAAAGATATTAAAAGAGGAAATTAAAAATGGCATTAAAAAACAGCAAAAATGGTAAAGCAGTAGGTCCAGACCAAATCCCTATAGAAATCTTAAAATGCATAAATGATGAAACCTTAGACATTATAGTAGACTTATTAAACTCAGTAGACAAACAGGACACATACGAAACAATGTTACTCTCCACCTTATGTGCTATCCCTAAAAATACAAATCTAAATATTCGCAGTGAATACAGAACAATATCACTGAATAGTCTAGACATTCTAAAAATTATTTCTGAATGAACATGGTCGTATAAATTAATAAAACTGGGAAGTAGAGTAAATAGATGATTATCTCAGTGTAATTGGGTATTTCAGAAGTCGAACTGAGGAACCACAGAAAGCGTATTTTTATCTTTTAATGGTGGCTTATGCTCAAAGATAAATATGAATGTATATTAAGGCTTGATTAGCATGTTTTATATACGTTCATTCTTGACAAAGCATTTGACATAGTAAGTAATAAAAATAGTCCCAAATCCGAAAGACAAAAACCATGAGACCATAGGGACTAACGATCTAATAACAAACTCACTGGAATCAAAGAGCACATAATCTAATAGATTAACGAGCCACTCCAGAATTTGAAAGTTAGTGGAGGATTCCATCTTCCATTTTTGAGAGTATCATAGAAACATTTCAGCGAATTTCCGCTCAGCTTGTTCCAGTTAGTGTTGAATTAATCAACGTTCATTATTTATCATGAGAACCTCTTGTCCAATCTGAAATGTATATTAATTAAAACACGTCCTACCTAAAATATTTCCTATACTGGTGTGAGAGTTCCACAAACCGAAGATCAGTCCTCTTTTACTTTTTCCAAACCAGTTGCTCATGACGGTAACCACACCTGGCCATCCCGTGGTCTGGAAAATGCCTGCCATGCCCTAAAAATATAGGTATTCTACTGCAACATACAAAAACAAAACATAAAAGTTACTTTTGTTTGGACCGATTAACATACTTGGCGTATAATAATTATTTCTTAGATTTCTTAAATTTAGTTATACAAAAAATTACAATAAAGATAGTGATATAGCAAACAACATAGATCACGAAGAAGTCCATGAACAGGCAAGACCTCTGATAATATTTATTAATATTTCTCCTTTGCTTACAGTAACATTTCCTGTAAAAAATATAGACATACGTGCACTACAAGAGACGAAGAAAAAAGGAAAGAATCAAATAATGCTAGATGACTATCTGATGATTTACAGTAGTGTTGCGAAAGAAACCAGGGCCAAAGAAGGAGACGCCCTGCTAGTACACAGAAAATTTTTACACCAAGTACAAGAATGTAAATACATCTCTGAAAGAATAGTAAAAGTTAAACTGGATTGGATGTCAAACATCTGAATGTAACCGAAAAAAGCAGAAACACATATATCACAGAAAGTGATGGAGTCGAAGAAAGCTGGGAAATAAATAAATCGTTCCCAAGGCAAAGAACTCCATGGTTTTGTAGAGAAGTGAAGGAAAAAAGAAAAAAGCTATCTGAAATACATCGCCAAAATACAAGAGGCATACCATAATTACAATAATACCATAATTACAATAATACCATAATTACAATACAATTAGAAACGAAACACATGCACTTGTAAGAAAATTTAAAAATGATCACTGGAAACGCTTTGCAAAAGAAATGGAACATAATTTTTATGGTCTGCAAAAGGAAATATAATGCTTCATAAGAGGTCAAACAACGGAGGTAAAGGAACTAATAGAACCAAAATAAATAGAAAAAAATACGTGGTTTGACTACCTAAAAAAGCTTATATGCAGAGAATATTATATAAGAATATTTTCTGCTCGCAAAATGTCTCTTAGGTTGAGTTAAGTTCCTAGGATTAGTTCCTAGTTAGATTCCTAGGTTATAGTTGTCCCTTCAACCTAGCCTTTTTAACAGTCAATTATACTCTTAGGCATTAGAGCCCTACCACTTCTACAAATTCGTAGGGCTCGAGTTTATATTGGTCAAATGTATTGCGCGTTGGAAAAGTTCTGTTTTGTTAGTTATTCTTTCCTAATGGGCGTTCCATGTAAGCCGCTTATCTAGAATTACTCCTAGGTATTTGACATTATTCGCCTCGTTGACAGTTTCTTCATACAGAGCAGGCATCCAGATGTTATTTAGGTTCCGTCTCCTTGTGAAACTCACTACTACTGTTTCACTAGGATTGGCAGAGTTTTTCGCTGTCGCACCGCCTAGTACGGCTATTTAATGTTCTTTGTATTGTGCTGGATAGAATATTACCATATTTTCCTCTTACCATAATTACTAGATCATCGGCATATTCCTGCTCTTCTACCCCCTGTGCATCAAGGAGTGAGATTAAGTCATCCGCCAGGAGTGACAACAGGAGGAGAGTAAGCACTTCCCTGTATTGTAAATAATACCTCCGTCTCTAATTCGTGTGTCTCGGACTGCATTTTCCAAGGCAATGTTAAATAGGAGGCAAGCCAGGGCATAGCCTTGTCTAAGTCTATCCCTTACCTCGAAGGATCAAGAATTTTCTGTCTGTATCCTAACGCTGGCTTTTAAGGCATGGTCTCATTTTGCCAGACAAGAAGTAAAAGTTTATGCAGTGCTTTAACAGGGCGTCGTCACCGTGCTTGTAGCAGGGCGTCGCCACCATTCTTGTAGAGCTGACTACAAATTTGATGAGTTTCTGGTGATGCTCTTGTAATTACTTATAATCGTGGTAAAACAAAGTAAAGAAATGTTTAAAAGTTATGATGTTGCTAACACAAGTTATATTATTTTCGTTTTTTGGTCTAATTTATATTTTTCTTGACCATTTTGTTCTAGAGGGACATTCCCTTAACTGCATGGTAGACCATAGAAATTAATATACTTCAGCAGCATAGCAACTACCCTGCAAAACTCAACAGCTGCCTGAAAGTACAACTGGATCAATCCCTGCTGTCTCCATCAACTTAAAATCCACTTCTTCAGCTACAAGCCATCCAACCAGCTTCTAAAGCCATCAACACGTTATGCCATGAACTATTATTTCCACATTTTTGGAAAGCTATAGACAGGATTTATGTATGGTTTTTTTCTATTTGAATAATTATTTCAAATCTAAACATTAAAATAAAAAATAAAATGACAAATTACTGTAATTAGAATTTTTTTCCATATCTTATCGTATCCATATCGTATTGTTATTTTTTGTAAAGAAGTATACATATGTACACTTCCCGTCATATAAAACTGGTACACTTTTTTTTCCCAATTTAAACCTTTGTTCAGAAATCAATTCGTTGTTGCCATTACAGATAACGGAATTGCACTAAATCTAAATAAAAAAATAACGTCCAAAAATGTATAAAACTTTTAGATAGGTATTATTTATATCATTAACAACAAAAAATCGTATCTAAGAAATTAAATAAGTAGAGATAGGATTGAGTTAACCAAAATGTTTGAAGGATCTTTAAACCTAGGATATTGGCACAGGGAACATTGGAATGCATCTACTGTAATTTTATACTTTAATTACCTACCGAACTCGAACTGTATTCTGTGTCAATAAGTTTTGTAACAGGCAAACTACAAAGATTAATTTATTATTTATTACAAGAACGATAAAAAATGTGAAAAACTAACATTATACTTTATCCTACGTATTATAAACTATAAAATATTCGGGGCGAAAAAAACGCTTTTCAAAACGTAACAGTTACAATCCAATATCTCACTGTAATGTTTTATTATAACAATTTGAAGTTTGTCTAGATTGATTATCTGTCATTATTTTTGAATTGAGATATTTTCATAAATTGTCATGAGAAATTAATTAAAAAAAATTAATATGAGAATTTTTTAGAATGCATGTTTAAACAAATTTAATGTGACTGAGTGATCAAGAGTGCTCGATAATGTTTTAGTTTTTAGTATACTCAAAACTGGTGGTCTGTTACACAGCCTTGCTTTTAGCTGGTTTGATATAACATTTTCGTTGAACTGGCAACGGTGCCCTAGAAATTAGAATGACACATGACAAGATCAACGTACACAACTTGAAAAACACGATTTTTGATTATAAGAGTTGTACCAGTTTTTTATGACGGGAACGGTACAATGGAAAAGTGTAATAATAATCACTAATAATAATTAATAACTATTATAGGACAAGTATGTTAGTCAGCATTTATCCATTACGTAGTCACTTATTAATTACTTTTGTTACCGACGGTTATAATTATATACTTCAAATTATCGCTATAACGATAAAACTTATCTATTTAAAAATAAGTTTTACCTTTCCGTAAGGTACTAAACATTATTAAGTTTATTATAACATTGTTGAAAATAAATAAGCTTAGGATATCGCTAGAAGAGAGATTTGAATTCGTGTAAAGCATTAAGAAAACAATTCGGAGATACTTTGGTTCCTTCAGTTTGGTATGCCAAGATAATAAAAAACAGGACTTATATGAGAATGTTTATATGAGAATATAATATATATATATATATATATATATATATATATATATATATATATATATATATATATATATATAATATATATATATATATAATATATATATACTGCGCGCCACGGAAAAGAGGCCACCTAGAATTTAGAATTTTTCAATAACTTTAAGTTTATACAATTTATTCTATTGTAATTAAATTCCCACAATACAGAAACACTTTTATCGTCTTTTAGGCACCGACGAACGGTGCCGACAGTTCAATTAAGGGTAATAAGTTTGCAGAACTGATATCAGTTTTAGGACTTCGGATAATGCACGTGTTGTTTGTACCTTATTTTTCTTGGAATATGGCTATTCTGTTTTTCAAAAACCTCTCACTAGTGTACAGTTGTTTGAAGAGTAAACTTGTGCAATATTGAAATTACAAACTATGGCTGAGATTTTGCTAGATCTGTTCAAATTGTTACTTTGATTGGTAATGGAATGAGTCAAAGAGAAGTGGACAAACAGCTTGGAGTCAGTCGTTGTAAGGCCAAAAAAATTACCGACGATTCGTAGAGACTGGATCTCACGAACGACGACCAGGATCAGGCCTGAGAAGAATCACGACAGCCAGAGAAGACCATTCTTTACAACGCACTTCTTTGCAAAATCGGTTCTTTACGGCTAGATCAATCCAAAACCGTTTTCAAAATTCTTTGGTTTCAAAAAGGTGGACTTTAAGCACTTCTACCATGAGAAGAAGGTTAAGGGAATTTGGTCCAAGGGTTTGCTGTCCAGCAACAGGACCTTTGTTAACAGCAGCACATCGACAACGCCGACTACAGTTTGTTAGAGACCACGAGCATTGGACGATAGAAGATTAAAAAAATGTTTTGTTTAATGATGAATCCAGGATGGTTCTTTATGGCTCAGATGGTCGCATCAAAACATACAGAAGACGTGGGGAACGATATGCTGCTTGTGTTCGACGAGTACGTGTTGCTTTTGGAGGAGATTCGGTAATGTTTTGGGCAGGAATTTCATTCGAGGGCCATACTGATCTCGTATTTATTGATGGAGGAGCGTTCAATGCACACGGATACATTACCGAAATTATAGACGAGCATGTATTGCCTTTTGCTGTGTCTGCTGCGAAAACTTTATTTTTATGCAAGACAACGCGCAGCCACACGTAGCCAGGATCTGGAAACTGTCGGTGTGCCAAAAATGAACTAGCCGGCTCAAAGTCCAGAATTGAACCCAATTGAACATGTTTGGGACCAACTCAAACGAAGGGTAAGAAACAGAATACCTGCTCCAATAAATCGTGAGCAGCTTCGGTTGGCGCTCATGGAAGAATGGGAAGCTTTTCCTCAAAACGACATCCAGAATTTGATCAATTCAATGCCAAATCGAATGAGGAGTGTAATTCACTATAGAGGTGGTAATACAC